CCAGATGCAGAATCCAGCGAGGGGGCATCAGGTAAAAAAGCGAAAGAATGAGAGTAAGGAATGAGAGCGAGCTGGGACCTGTGGAGCGTCAGCAGACGCATCCGGAGCCCATGACCACCCGTATAATCGAGGCTGCAGGAAAACTGTGACTTGCGGTTTCCCGTGGTTGGGGTGAGGGGTGGTGGGGGGTGGGGGGGGGAGGGGGGGCGGCGAGGCGGGGGGGGGGGGGAGGGGGGCGGGGGCGGGGAGGGGGTGCGGGTCAGGGGAGCGGGTGGGGGGGGGGGGGGGGGGGTGGGGGGGGGGGGCGGGGAGGGCGGGGGCGGGGGGGGGAGGGGGGGGGGGGGGGGGGGGAGGGGGGTGGGGGGGGTGCGGAGGGGGGGGGGGGGGGGGGGGGGGGGGGGGGGGGGGGGGGGGGTGGGGGGGGGTGTTTCGGTAGGTCGGCTATGTGGTTTATTTCTTTTTTGGTTTTATGTTTTTGATCGTTTTTTGAGGGGGGGGGCATCTGCGTCGTCGCTGAGAAATACTCTTAAGTGAGCGCCCACCGATGCTCTGAAACCGCGCACACCCTGGATATGTCCTTCCACGGAGCTGGGGGGGATGGCCTTTGCCGCCAGTCCTGAATAGCGTGAGGGCAGGACGTCCACCTTACCGGTTTCGGTGTCCACCTCCACGTCGGAGACGTTGATGCAAATGCGTTGCCCACACCACCGGGGTTGGCCCGTGGCGCGCCCGACACCGGGCCGCCGGTACCGTTCAGCCCGTCTTGCCAATGTTCGAAAGTCACGCAGGGCATCATCGGACCGGTTTTGCGCCAGTGTTGCAAGTCTTCCTGGTTTCCACATCTCTACGGACACGTCCCAGATGCGAGGCGGCGCGTTCGATCAACTGGACGGCGCACATCTCGCCGAGAGCATGGGTGTAAAACGGATGGACCAATCGTGAAGGTTAACTCCGCTTGCCTCTGCGCCCGCTGAGGACCGATGCCTGTCGGTTCGACGATGGATGGATTAATCCGTTCCCCGCCGGCAGACAGAGCACCTCGGCGATGTGCATGGCACTGCACGCGCGGGAGGGAAACCCACGGCCCAATGTCAGGCGACCTTCAATCAGGCTGACGGTGGTTTACCGTCTGGCATCACGCTGGCAACGGCGCTGGCGGGGCGGTGCCGTTGAACCAGGCGCGGCGGCGATGCGCGTCCAGTGACCGTCCGGGACCGGACGGCCGCCGGCACCGGCGCGGCCATGATGTGCTCTGAGCATGACGCAGGAGTTCACATCGCAGATTGCGACGGAAACAACGGCCCCGGCACCTGGCGGCTGCCCTCTTGGAAGCGTGTTCAACCGAAATTCCACGCGGTCAACGCCCAGCTTCTGGACACAGCTCGTCGATGGCTGTTCAGCAGCGAAGACGCCACCGGAGACCCGAGATCCGGGGCCCGCCCCGTGACGCGCGCCTGGGCCTGTTGTACGCACACCGTAGCCCTCCACGAAAACCGTTGGAATGCTCGTAGGCGGGCGAAACATGGTGACGGCATACCGCTGGTACCGGCGAGCCGTGGAATGCCCCGCCTCTTACACCAGGTATGCCTGAGCGGCGACGAAAACGGCCGTCCGTGTGCCGCCAACCTTGACCTGATATGACTTCCCCGAGGTGGGCCGGTGCCCGTAAAAAACTCGGTGCGTGTCATGGCAATTTTCCACCGGGCGCCGGTCTTGCGAGCTAGCGCGGCACCACCGGCTCAAGTAGCAACCACCTTGACCCTTGCGCCAAACCCGCCGCCGATCTCCATCGGGACAACGTCATCTGCCCACCGAGATGCCCAGAATGCGGCTGTGTGTGGTCACGCAGGGCGAATGCCCCTGGCTGCTGGCCCAGATGGTTAGGGTGTCTCGTTGTTTCCAGCGCGAAAGCAGTAGCAGAGTGCGGTTCGATGTAACCCTGATGAACGGCCGAGTGTGGTACTCACGCTCGACGATTTCGTCGGCCTCGGCGAATCCTGCTTCGATAATCGCCAGGGTAAACTGGAAATGGTTCGACACTTGAACCGTCGCCGGTTTCGCCCTCTGCCCAACCTCCGGCGCGCATCGCCGGGTTGGTCAGGCTCACCAGACGTCTCGGGATGATGGAGGGACGCCGGGAGAGCCATCGCTGCATCAGCAGTCAGTGCGCCGCAGGCACTTCCCAGTTACCACATCAATCAACTCCATGGCTTCTTCGGCAAGGAGGTGCGGCGACGAATCGGCGACGATGCTGCACACGCGTGGCCCCGATAACAACGCATTTCCCGAGCCTCACGTGCGGGCTGTAGAAGAAACCCTAGTGGACGTTGAACCCTCTTCCTGCCGTCCTTTATTTCAGGCGGACACGTCTGGGAAGTCAGCGCCGGTTACCACCGCAGGAACACCCCGGCACAGCCAGGGCGCGGCTGGCGTCTCGATACCATGATGCGCGTGGGGAACGTGGACTGCGCAGGACTTTGTGCCGCGGCAACATCGCGGGAAGATGAATATCGGCCGCGTAGCGGCACGAGCCATCACCTTGTCGGGCCGTCGTGCGCGGAGATGGGGCGCGTCCCCACCACACGGTAGTATGATCCGGGTCAACAAGAACGATGTTAGGTTGTAATCAAGCATATGGAGCGTCCTCTGAGCGACGATTGCGGGGCGATTGATGGCCGTAATTTACCACAATACGGTCGGCGACGGGGGCCGCACTCAACCTGACCCCCTCCCCATCAAGCAGGGCTCGGCGGGTATGACTGAACGTGAGCAGACATCCTCTTTCCAGCGTGCCCGGCAATTCGACCGGGAGCCGGCAACAATGCGCCGGCGATGCCAAGTCCCCTGCGTCCCGGCCAATCCTCACGAGCCGCTATCCTTTCCTGCGGGAGGAATGCCGGGAGAGCGTCGACCCTCGCCTACCGGAGCAACCACTACGCGAGCAACCACCAACGCGTATCTGATGCGTACCCACTTTGTCATTGCGGGCATAGCGTGGCAATCCCGTCGCCGTAGCAACGGCGGATCGTCGACCTATGTTCAACCTCATCGTGATTGCCACGTCCCTCGACGAGCTCGGGATGAGCGGACGCTCTTCGCAATGACGGATTAAGTGGGTACGCGTGAGCCAAAATGGGTGCGTTGACGCTTCGCGGCGTCAGTGTCTATAATTTCGCTGGTTTATTTGCGGTTTGTTGAGGTATTGTGCGCCATGGATTTGAAAACAGGACAGCGTTATGTCGCCCCGGGTGGGGCCGAGATGATCGTCAGCAAGGCCAGCGGGACGGGGGAGTTGACGGACGGGGACATCCCCCTGCAAATCAAGGGCGCCAGCGTCGACTTTGCAGGCGCCGCGCCAGCCGATGACGCTCCGGAGGTTACGATGGGCAAACGGCTAACCTCACCGGACGGCAGCGTATCAGTCCTGGTTACCAAGGCCGGCAAGTGCGACCTGCGCCTGGACGGAGAACCAATGGAGTTGCAGGAAGCGAAACAGTTGCCGTCGTCCGATTGATTCGTCGACTCTTCAGGGATGCTGTGATTTGGGCGGGCCGATGGCTCGCCCTTCGCTTGTCTCGCAGCGGGGTTTCCACCCTCTCGTGTGTTAGGGAGTGGGCCTTCACCCTCACCCTAGCCCTCTCCCATCCAGGGAGAGGGGATGCAACCGATTGGGCCCGGGCATCGCATCGCGGTTCCAACTAACTGAGCTCTCTCCGACCGGGAGAGGGGATGCAACCTACTGGCCCCGGGCATTACGCTACAGGCAAACCGCCCCTCTCCCACCGGGAGAGGGGTTGGGGTGAGGGTAATCCCAGCAGCACAATTTGCCGCGACCTAAAGGAAGTGCGGTATCACATACTTCCCGAACAGGCGGATGCTGTTCATTATGTTGCTGTGGGGCAGGTTGCCCATCTGCATGAAGCACAGAATCTGATCGACGCCGGCCTCCCGGTATTTCTCGATGGTCTTGATGACCGTCTCCGGGCTGCCCATTGCGAACGCGCCGGACTCAATGTGGTCGTCGGCGGTTTTGTTGACGCGTTCCGTCTGCACCGCATCAACGGCAAAGCGGTAGCTGTCGGGCACTTCACGACCCTGCCAGGGACTGTAAAGGTCTTCAGCCTTGGCCACGAACCACTCACCCTCGCGGGCGGCCGCATCGTAGGCTTCCTGGTCGGTGTCCGCAACGTGCACCATGCACAGCGCGGCGATGTTGTCGTTGATCATGCTGCCGATGGGATGTGCGTCCTTGAGGGGCCTCGCGGTAAATCTGCACCCGCTCAACAGTTGCTCGTGCCCGCCCAGTTGAAGCACAGCACCCCGATTCCCAGATCGCCCGCCTCCCCGAAGGATGTGGGCTGGCTGCACGCCATCCACATAGGGCGGATGGGGGTCCTGCACTGGCTGGGGATGACCGAGCGCGGCGGGACGTTGTAAAACTCGCCGGCGTGGGAGAAGGGGTCTTCCGTCCACATCCGGGGAATCATGCCGATGGCCTCGCGCCATTGGGCCTTGGTGGTTTCGGGGTCAACCTCGAAGCCGTCCATCTCGATGAGGGTGGTGGAGCGACCAGTGCCCAGATCCATCCGCCCGTCGCTGACGATGTCGAGGACGGCGGCGCGCTCGGCAACGCGTACTGGATGGTTGTAGGCTCCCGGCAGCAGGGCCACGGCATGGCCGATGCGGATGCGCTTGGTGCGCTGGGAGATGGCGCCGTACAGCACTTCCGGAGCGGAACAGTGGGAGAACTCCCGCAGGAAATGATGCTCTACCGTCCAGAAGTAGTCGAACCCCACGTCATCGGCCAGCTCAACCTGGGCCATCACCTGCTTGTACCGTTCCGCTTCGATGCCAGGATAATGCGGTTCCGGCACCTGAATTTCGTACATCAATCCGAATTTCATTTGGTTTGCTCCTTGGTGCAGAATTGGTTAATGGAAGTCTCGGACCGCTCATTTTTGACAACGGCGGGTTATCCTACAGGGTTCATTGGCGCATATTATCACACAGGGAAGTTTGCCATACCCGATATAATGGGCGAGTATTAAATTATTCCCGGAGCCGTCTTATGCCCGAAGACTTAGTCAGCATTGCCAAAAGCCTGGTTCCCGATATTGTGGCCAACGTGGACCGGATTGATACCGAGTGCCAACTGCCTGCCGAACTGGCCGCAAAAATGGCGCAGCATCGTTTGTTCTGCCTGTATGCGCCGCAAGGGCTCGGCGGCCCTGAGGCGGACCCGCTCACCGCTTTTGAGGTGGTTGAAGCGATATCCCAAGCGGACGGTTCTGCCGGCTGGTGCGTTTTCACCGGTAGCGCGGTTACGTCGGCAATTGCACGTTTGCCCGTGGCGGCAGCCAAAGAGATATTCGGCGACCCGCCAGCCATTCTGGGGTCCGGATCCGCCCGGCCCGAAGGTACTGCCACTATTGCCGACGGCGGCTACATCATCAACGGACGCTGGAACTACTTGAGCGGCATCGACCACTCCACGGCGTTGTTCCTCAACTGCCGGCTTATGGATGCCAACGGCCCGGCCCTGAATGATGACGGCAGCCCGATGACTCGCGTGGCGGTAATCCCCGTATCTGCGGGCGAGGTCATCAACACCTGGACTACGCTGGGAATGCGTGGAACGGCCAGCAACGATTGCGCATTCTCCAATGTTTTCGTGCCAACTCGGCATACCTATACCCGGGGCGACGCGTCGTATCACCAGGGGGCGCTATACGATCCGCCGCAGACGGCGATACTAATTAGTTGGACGCTGGCGGCAGCCAACGCTCTCGGCATGGCCCGTGGCGCGATGAACGCCTTTACCGATTTAGCCACGGGTTCTGGCACTACCGATTCCAGGATGCTGTTGCGAGACCGCACATACGTCCAGATCGCCGTGGGTGAATGCGAGGCGATGCTGGACGGCGCGCGCACTTACGTGCTGGACGCGGTGGGGAAGATGTGGCGCGCCCAGATCGACGGGCAGCCGGATTTGGCGGACACGGCGGTGCGGGCCAGGCTGGCAATCACTCGCGCAATCCGGCAGTCGGTGACAGTCGTGGATCAACTGTTTAACGTCGCCGGCACCAACGCTATCCACCGGTCGGTAGGGCTGGAACGGTTTTTTCCGAGACCTGCACGTGAGTGGGCAGCACGTCTCCGGCCTGCCGTCCAACTACGAATACGGCGGTCAGACGCTCATGGGGGCGACCGTACCGGCGTCTCTGTACACGTGAGGCCCGTTGATCTGTACCCGCGCCCAAAGGTGGGGCGGGGATTGTTTACTTGGGGAATATGCGCCGATACACTCCGGGCGAGCCCGATTCGTGGACCATGTGGGGCCGCACTTCGTTGGTCCAAACGGGGGTGACGGCGGTGCGCCAGTTTTCCCAGCCCTCGCTTTCAGCCACCGCCAACGACTCCATCTCGTGGACCGTGGCGTACTTGGGCTCGCCCATGACCGCCTGAAAACGGCGGGCGCGTATGTAGCCCGGAATGTCCAGACACAAGGGCAGCCGTTCGTTGTTGTAGGCTTCGTTCCAGCGATCTTCTAGGTGGTCGGGCACCGACATGCGCCCCACCAGAATTACCGGCGACATTTCCGCCCCGCCCGTATCCTCCGATAATTCCGCCGGATGGACGCGACCGTACAGGTTGCGCACGTACTCGGTCCCGATGACGCTGGGCGACATGCGCCGCGACCATTCGGTGGGCTCGTTAAGCCACTTCTGCCATTCCTCTGAGTACCAGGCCTCGTGAGAATCGAGCTCGTAGCATGCCAGATACCTGGGGCCGCCCTGCACCGCCTCGTAACGCGCCGCGTCCAGCACACCCGGTATGGACAACCGCTCCGGGATGTGCTCCTCGTTGTACCAGCGGTTATACTCCTCGTCGTGCTCCGGCGCCACGTCGCTGAACACCAGCAGCAGTCCGTCGCCCTTCCTCTTCGCCGTCATGGATCACTCCTTTGGTAGGGTGAGAGTGGTAGGGTGAGAGTTCGTTGCCCGGCCCGCTACGGCACCAGCATGGCGCGGGTGATTTCCGTCTGGCGTTGGCTCCACTCCGCCGCCTCGAATGCCTCGTTAACATCGGCCAGCGGGAAGGTGTGGGACACCAGCTTGTCGAAGGGCAGCTTGTCCTGGTTGCGAACCAGGAAGTCCAGCAGTTCGGGCAACAGCGACGGACGATACATCAGGCTGCCGACGATGTTCTTGCCCTGCAGGAGCTTGGAGGGGTCGATTGACACTTCCTGCCCGCGCACAATGTCACCAATCTCGACGAAGGTGCCGCCGTTGGACAGCATGTCGATACCCTCTTTGAGCAGGTCGGCGCGGCCCACCAGTTCCATCACTACGTCGGCGCCGCGACCGCGGGTTAGCTCGCGAACCCGCCGCACCCGGGTCTCCGGCGTGTTGAATTCCTCAATGTTGATGGTGTCGTCGGCGCCGAACTCTTCGGCCAGCGCCAGGCGGTTCTCCAGCCGATCCAGCACGATGACGCGATCCGCGCCGCGCTCCTTGGCCATGGCGGTGGCGTGCAGTCCGAGGCCGCCCGCGCCCATGATAACCACCGACTGACCGTGGCTCATGTTGGCGCGTTCCAGTCCGGTGGTTACCGTGCCCATCGCGCAGTTCACCGGGCCCAGGATGTTTGTCGGGCAGTTCGTCCGGCACACGGAAGAAGGGGTGGCGCGGCGGCAGGTAGAGAAAGTCGCCGTAGGTTCCGGTGAAATAGGGCCAGTTGCCGGCGGCGGGATACTGGCGGTTGGCGCACCAGTTGGTGTTGCCGCGAAGGCACATATGGCAACGGTAACAGGGGAACACCGCGGCGTAGATAACCCGGTCGCCTTCCTTGACATCGGTGCCATAGTAGTCGGCGGCAACGCCGTCACCAAGATGTTCGATGACGCCGGTACCCTCGTGTCCCATGACACGCCCGGTCTCCGGCAGGGGCGAGTGTTCCTGGGTCTGGTCGCCGCGCCAGGTGTGCAGGTCGGAACCACAGATGCCGGCTTGCGTCATCCGCAACAGCACTGCGCCGGGTTCGGGCTCGGGGACATCGTACTCCTGGATTTCAAAGGGTTTGCCGTACTCCTTGACGACTACAATGCGTCCTTTCATTGCCGTTCCCTCCGTTAACTTCGTGCGTCCTCAAATTGGGCAGTAGTTATCGCGATTTGCGGTATCGTAGCACACCGGCGACGTTTTTACATTGGCCCAATCACTGGGTCGAAGCCGTCGAGCAGTCCGCCCGACGACCGCCTCCCATTGGCGCCGGTACGCTGTTGGCGCTTCCTCCGCATGGTCAATCGAACGGCCCTGATTACGCACGTGGACGCGATGACAACCGGGGGCTTTGATGCTATGCTATCGCCTGGAGTTCAGATACTGCTTATGAAGATTGCTGTTGGGTCTGACCACGCCGGTTTTGAGTACAAGACGAAGTTGCTGGCTTTGCTGGCGTATTTGGGACACGAGGGCGTTGATTACGGGGCCTACTCGGATGAGGCCACGGACTACCCGGCATGGATTCGCCCGGTTGCCCAGGCGGTAGCGTGCGGTGAAGCCGATCGCGGGATCGTGCTTGGTGGGTCCGGTAACGGCGAGGCAATCGTGGCCAACCGTATCGCCGGAGTGCGCTGCACGTTGTGCTGGAACGCCGAATCAGCCCGTTACGCCCGGCAGCACAATGATTCCAACGTGCTGTCGATGGGACAGCGGCTGGTGTCCTGGGTAACGGCTTGCGAAGTTGTGGACGTGTGGTTGTCCACCGAGTTCGAGGGTGGACGCCATCAGCGCCGGATCAGCCAGATAGACGATTAGGCGCGGGTGACTTTACCCCGCAGGCGGTTCCGGGGGGAACTCCCCTCACCCCAGCCCTCTCCCACAAGGGGAGAGGGTGTGAATTTGTAAGCCCGGCGACCCTGCCTCTCGCATGTAGGAAGGGTGTCTTCAGTCTGCGGCGGGAACCGGCTGGGGGGTAAGAGCGTCAGCGACGCCGATCATACTGTCTCGAGTTACCAGGCTGGCCAGTTCGTCTTCGTTCATGCCATCGGTGCCGGCGGGTCGGCGAGGTAGCACCAGGTAACGCAGGTCGGCGGTACTGTCCAGCACCCGTACTTCTGCATCCTCCGGCGGCGTGGCGCCAAAATCGGCCATGACACCCCGGGGGTCGCGGACGGCGCGGGCACGGTAGGCCAGGCTCTTGTACCAGTCGGGCGGGCGGCCCAACAGCATCCGGGGGTAGCACGAGCACAGTGTGCACACCACCAGGTGGCGCCGGTCGTCAGTGTTTTCGACCACGGCCAGGTGCGGCGTGTCCTCCGGCAGGCTGAACCCCAACTCCGCAAGAGCCGCGCGCGCATCGGACAGCAGGCGGGCCTTGAACTCGGTATCAGTCCAGGCGCGGGCGACGACGCGGGCGCCATCCGCCGGCGTGCGGGCGTCCATCAGGTCAACCTGCCGGCCGATCTCTTCCACGCTGATTAGACCCTTCCCGACGAGCAATGCCTCGATGGCAACCGAGCGGAGCGCCACTTCGCTCATGGGTTGGTCTTCGGGCGCGGCTCCGGGATGCGGGTGGTCGTGATCTTCCGTTTGGTGGGTGGTCATAAGGTTCCTCACACGTTCATGGATAATGCCGTGATTGCTGGACCCAGTCGGTCAGGCCGATTCCAGCCAGTGCTGGTAAACGTCGACTTGTAGCGTATCCGCGGGGTTGCCGGCGTAATCGGGCCACAGGTCGGTCTGCCGCAGCTCGATACGGTAGAGGGGCTGGCGAGGCAGGCCGTCGCCGCCGTGGGCCAGGGACTCCGGGTTGGGGTAAACGCCGCACAGCGCGGCCACGGTGCCGGTGTGTCCCTGGATATAGGCCGGCGTGCGGAAATGGTGCGCCGGCGAGCCGGTACGGATCCGAACGACCGCGCCATCGGCATAGCGCACCGGTTCGGATGCTGCGTTGGTGCTCATGGCTCGCCTCGCCTACAAACCCTGCTCGCGCAGCTGGGCGGTTTTGGCGTCGATTTCGTCGGCGGACAGGATGCCCTTCTCTATGAGCAGGATTTCCAGGGCGGCTGTCCACTTTTCGTAGTAGGACAGGGCCTCATAACGCTCGGGCGGCAGGCTCTCGATGGCGCGTCGCATCTCATCGGTGGTGCGGATGCCCTGCGCTCCCAGTGCCTGATGCACGGCATCAACGCGCCGTTCCCAGTCGCTGAGGATGTGCTCCTCGCGGGCGATGGGCGTGTCATCAGGCCAACCGCCGCGGTCATGTACTGCTGGCATGGTATTCGTGCTCCTTGCGCCTTCATCCCAACCCTCTCCCATCAAGGGAGAGATGGAGGGTCGGTCAGTTTTGCTCCCACATCTGGGCCAGGTCGATGGCGCGCATGAATTTTACGTTGGGGAAGGATTTGATGTACTCGATGAGGCGTTCGAGCATCAGCAAGCGACCGGGTCGGCCGATGTATTGGGGGTGCATGGTCAGGTTGAAGCAGCGTCCGTAGCGATAGATGCCGCGGAACTCGGCGGCCCAGCTATCGAACACCTCATCGGGATTGCGCATGGGGCCCATGCGATTGGCCGAAGGCGCGTAAACGAAGTGGGGTGCATCATCAAGCAGCCAGTGAATGGGCAGTTCTACCATCTGACGCGGTGGGTCGCCGCCCGAGACGAAATAGGGCGCGTCATCCCCCATCAGGCTGCTGTCATAGGTGAAGTTGTGCTTCGCCAGCAGGTCCAGCGACACCGGGCTAAGCTCCCAACTCGGCGAGCGGTAACCAACCGGCACTTCACCGGTCAGTTCACCGAGGATGCTGATACCCCTGATGAGCACCTCCTCCTCCTCGGTCGGCGTCATGGTGGCCGGCGGTTCGTGGAGATAGCCGTGGTGCGCGACTTCATGCTGGCGGTCGGCAATGTCACGCACCAGCTCGGGGTGGGTTTCGGCGACCTGCCCGGGAATATAGAAACTGGCCTTAATGCCCTGCGCGTCCAGCATATCCAGGATGCGCGGCGTGGCAACGCTGGGACCGTACTCGGCCATGGACAGCAGGCTGGGGTAATTGGCAAAGTCGGCGTTGCGGCGCAACCAGGACGACACCCCGTCCACATCGAAGGTTATCAGGGCAACGCACTGAATGTCGTCGGGCCAGATGCCAGACATATCAAGACTCCTTGCGCTGTCCGTTTTGAGCGGTGGGCGGTGGCTCGTCAAAAGCTTCGCCCCGGGCTTGGGCAGCCTCGCGGCGGGCCAGCCATTCCTGCCATCGGCGGTTCATCTCGGTCTCCCCGTCGGCGAAGCCCTTGCGGCGAATTCGCCGTTTGAACAGCTCACCCAACATCCGGTTTCCTCCTTCGACGGCAATGGCGCTGAAACCCACGCAGACCGCCATGCTAGATCCGCCTTTCGCGCCGATGAGTTCCAATATCTGGTGCCAGGTCGCGTCGTTTCCAACGGCCACGACACCATTATAGACTCTCGCCCCCAACAAAAGCAGCGTCGACCCGCTGAAGACGCCCAAGTGCCAACCCAAAAGATCGGCGGGTATGCTGCTCAGCGAAACACGGTCATCTCGAGCAAATTCGTCGGTAGTCCGCGGTGTCATGCTGCCGTGGATTCCACCATCATGCCTCCCTCTCCGGCGACGGGAGAGGGGATTCGCCCATTATGGCGCCGGTATCGTATCGAATCCGGTGTATGGGTGCAGTGGTTCTGGGATTATGACCGAACCATCCGGTTGCTGGTTGTTCTCCAGGATTGCGATCATTACCCGGGGCAGCGCCAGGCCGGAACCGTTCAGAGTGTGGACGAATCGCGGGCGTTCGCCGGCAGCCGGACGGTAACGCACGTTGGCTCGCCGCGCCTGAAAGTCGGTGCAGTTGGAACAGGAGGACACTTCCAGCCATTCTCCGGAGCCGGCCGCCCACACTTCAATGTCATAGGATTTGGCTGATGGGAAGGATATGTCGCCGGCGCACAACTCCAGGATGCGGTAGGGCAGGCCCAGGCGTTGGCAGACGGTTTCGGCGTTACCCAGCAGTGTTTCCAGCTCGTCAAAGGAGGTTCCCGGCTCGACGAATTTGTACATCTCCACCTTGTTGAACTGATGTACGCGCTTGATGCCGCGGGTGTCGCGTCCGGCCGCCGCCTTTTCCCGGCGGAAGCACGGCGTGTGGGCCACGTAGTACAGGGGCAACTCATCGGCGGACAATATCTCGTCGCGGTGCAGGTTCGTTACCGGCACTTCCGCAGTTGGAATCAGCCACAGGTCATCTTCTTCATCGTGGTACAGGTTGTCGGCGAAGCGTGGCAAGTTGCCAGAGCCTTCCATAATCTCCCGGCGCACGAGGATGGGCAACGCCATCTCGGTGTAGCCATGCTCCTCGCTGTGCAGGTCCAGCATCCACGATATGATGGCCCGCTCCAGGCGTGCTCCACGACCGTTCAGCGTGTAGAACCGGCTGCCCGACAGCTTGACGCCGCGTTGGAAGTCGATAACGCCCAGCTGCTCGGCTAGATCCCAGTGGGGCTGCGGCGCGAAATCGAACTGGGGCAATTCTCCCCAATGACGCAGCACCCGGTTGGCCGATTCGTCCAGACCGTCCAGCGTGGTAGCGTCAGGCAGGTTGGGCAACTCCATGAGCAGGCCGTTGATCCGCACATCAAGAGTGCGGACGGTTTCCTCAAGGTCGCTGATCTGCTGACCCACGTCGCGCATTTCGGCAACGACGTCATCGGGCGGTTGCTGACCCTGGGCGCGGGCCTGCCCAATCTCCCGGGACACCTGGTTGCGACGGCTCCGCAGGTTGTCGCCGTCGGTTATGGCGACACGCCGCTCTGTATCCAGGGCAAGAATTTCGTCGAGGCAATCGTCATCTTCGGCGCGGCGCACCAGGGCGGCGCGAACAGCGTCCGTTTCGTTGCGAATCTGTTCCAGGGAAAGCATTCGGCAGAGTAAGCTTATCGGGAATCGTGGTCGTCGTCGGCATCGCTGGAGAGCGCGCGCATTTGCGGAAATAATAGCACATCCCGAATGGTGGCCTGGCCGGTAAGCAGCATGACCAGCCGGTCGATGCCAATGCCCAGCCCGCCGGTGGGCGGCATGCCATATTCCAGCGCGGTCAGAAAATCCTCGTCGGTGCGGTCGGCCTCGTCATCGCCGTAGGCGGCGCGCAGGTGCTCCTGTTCGGCGAACCGGGCGCGCTGCACCCCTGGGTCGTTCAGCTCGGTGTAGGCGTTGGCGATTTCCATTCCAGCGGCGAAAGCCTCGAAGCGCTCCACGTAACCGGGCTTGTCGGGTCGGCCCTTGGCCAGCGGCGACATATCTTCGGGATAGTCGATGAGGAAGGAGGGCTGAACCAGGTGAGGCTCCACGTACACCGACAGCATCTTGTCGATGAGACGCCCACGAGCTTCCCGGGGCGCTGGATCCAGACCCATTTCGGCGGCCTTGCCGATGAGGGATTCCGCGTCGGGATACTGGTCGATGTCCACGCCGCAGCGGCGGTGAATCTCCTCGGGCAGCGACAGGCGCTGCCAGGGCGGCGTGAAGTCGATGAAGCCTTCTCCGTAGGGGACCCTCGGAGAACCGTGCAGGTCGATGGCGAGCGTGGACACCAGGGATTCCACCATCTCCATAACATTATTGTAGTCGGCGTAGGCTTCGTATGATTCCAGCAGGGTGAACTCGGGGTTGTGATCCTGGTCGATGCCTTCGTTGCGGAACACGCGGCCAATTTCGTATACCTTGTCCAGCCCGCCCACGATGAGTCGCTTCAGGTAAAGCTCCGTGGCGATGCGGAGGTACAGCTGCATATCAAGGGCGTTGTGGTGGGTGATGAAAGGTCGGGCGTGGGCTCCGGCGGGAATGGGCACCAGGATGGGTGTATCGACTTCAACGAACCCGCGGTCATCCAGGAACCGGCGTATGCCGCTGATGACCCTGCTGCGCTGCACGAAGGTATCGGCGATTTCCGGATTGGCAATCAGGTCCAGGTAGCGCTGGCGGTAACGGGTTTCCACGTCGCGCAGGCCGTGCCACTTCTCCGGAAGGGGACGCATCCCCTTGGCAAGAATGGTAATGGTGGTTGCCTCAACGGTGGGCTGGCCAGTACGTGTGCGCATCATGTTGCCGCTAACGCCCAGAAAGTCGCCGATGTCCAGGTCAGGCAGCAGGGAGTAATCGTCGCCCAACACGTTCTGACGCAGCATGGCCTGGACAGTGCCGGAGGCATCTCTCAGGTCCAGGAAGGCGGCGCGCCCCATCACCCGCATCGACGTGATGCGTCCGGCCAGCACCACGGGGTCGGCAGAGCCCAAACGGTTGGCGGTTTCAGCCGCCACAAACCGCGTTATCGCTTCCGTCGCGGTGCAGTTGCGCTCAAACCGGGCCGGATAGGGGTCGATGCCACGTTCGTGGATACGGCCCAGCTTAACCCGGCGGCTCTCCAGGTTGGCCTCAAGGCTCCCCAGATTATCGGGCTGGTCTGCGGTTGGTGGCAGTTCTGGTTCGGGCACGGGACGGCGTGGGCGGTTATGCGTTGGCGGGCGGGATCTGGCGTTAGCTTACCGAGATAATTTTTAGCTTGCTCTTGCCATTGGGAATCTGTATTTCGGCAATGTCGCCGGCGCGTTTGCCCAACAAACTCTTGCCGATTGGGGACACATGGGAAATTTTCCCTTGGGCGGGGTCGGATTCCAACGAGCCGGTTATCTGGTACTGCATCTGTTGCCCGTTTTCGCGTTCCACTGTGACCCGACCCCACATCGCCACGACACCAGGTGGACTGTCGTCAGCGTGCTCAAAGTCGCCAATGACCGCGTTGTTAATCAGGCTCTCCAGCGAGCGGATTTTACCCTCCACATAGGCGAAGTCCTGATTGGCGACATCCTGCTCGCCGTTGTCATCGCTGCCGCCGCGGGTTCGCGCAGCGTTCATCTGCTCGGCGATGGCCGGCTTCCTGACGGTGCGGAGTTGGTCCAGTTCCGCCGTTAGCTCATCCAGCTTGCCTTGGGTCATATGCTGTGGTTGCGGCATCTGGCCACCGCCTAGAATCCTACATAGAGAGACGGGAGCGGTCAAAATCGACCTACTCCCTAGCAGTAAATTATAAGGCTGACCTCAAAAATTGTAAAGCAGATTTGCCCTCTCATGCGTACCCGCTTTGTCATTGCGAGGAGCATAGCGACGTGGCAATCTCGATGAGGCTGAACACGCGTCGGCCAACCGCCGTTGATACGACGACGAGATTGCCGCGCTACGCTCGCAATGACACAGGAGGTACGCATCAGGCCGGGCACGTCGCGCGTACCCCTTTGATCTGTCATTGCGAGGAGCATAGCGGCGTGGCAACCTCGATGAGGCTGAACACACGTCGGCCAACCGCCGTTGCTATGACGACGAGATTGCCGCGCTACGCTCGCAATGACACAGGAGGTACGCATCAGGCCGGGCACGTCGCGCGTACCCCTTTGATCTGTCATTGCGAGGAGCATAGCGGCGTGGCAATCTCGATGAGGCTGAACACCCGTCGGCCAACCGCCGTTGCTACGACGACGAGATTGCCGCGCTACGCTCACAATGACAGACTAATTTGGGTACGCATGCGGATTTGCCCTAACTATGCGCGCTCTTCCGCAGGCGAGCGTCGAATCCGTTGGTTACAATTCACGCGTCAATGGCATCCCAAATGGAGCGAGGTGCAAACCATGTTACAGAGGATGATTGGAGCGGCAATGTTCAACTCCGCCACCTACGAGGAGATCGAGGCCGACCGCAACGCGCTGGGTGAAGCCATCCTCGTGGTGGTGCTGGTAACTGTCTGCGGCATCGTGGGCGGCATTATCGACGGATTAATTAGCGGCGGCGGCCTCGGCGGGCTGGTACGCGGGATCATCGTCGGACTGCTCTTCGGTATCGTGCGCTGGGCACTGTGGGTTACGGTGCTGAATTTCGTCGGCGGCAAGATGTTGCGAACCAGCGACACCGAGACGAATTGGTCGGAAATCGGCCGGGTCCTGGGGTACGCCTACACCCCCGGCGTCCTGTCGCTGCTGGTATTCATCCCGGTCGTGGGAGTACCTTTGTCGTTGGTCGGGTTCGTGTGGACATTGGCGGCGGTCGTGGTCGGCGCACGTCAGGCTCTCGACTTCGACAGCACCGGGCGGGCAATTGCCGCGGTGTTGCTGTCAGCCGTAATTGGCTTTATCCCTTGGATTATCGTCGTGGCGATTCAGGGCGCCCTCACCGGTTGATTTGACTGCCGGATTTGTCGCCACCTCGCGGCGGTTTGATTCGGATTCAATCGTGCGTGCATCCGCGTTGGTACTCTTAGTTCGGTTGCTGAGAGCCGGGCGGGATTTGGTGTGGTGACGCCAAACTTCTTTTTGACGTGCTGACGCCAATCACGTAGCATCGGACGCGCAGGGGGCGAGCATGCGAGACAAGTGGGCCATTCGCGAAGATGTCTGGACGGCGCTGGAGACGGCCCGCGTGGTGCGGGGCAAGTCGGTGCACGACAAGATTCCCCATTTCATCGGGTGTGGGGTGGCTGCGTCCCTCGCAACTGAATTGCCTGAATGGGAGGCGGCCCGCGCCATCAAGAGCAACCCCGACCAGGCGCAGCGTCCGTTGCGTCAACTGGCATTGGAGCAGGGCAAGTTGCTCTATATGGCGGTGCCCAGGTTGCGGGACGAACGGGTCTTCATCGAGCTGGACCCAACCCGCCCTGAGGTTGAGCCGGCTAAAGCGGCCACCATATCCGGGGCGTTCCAGGTGGGGCGTCCGGTGTACGTGGCGGAGATGCAAACCCATCGACCTGGTAATCTCAGGCTCGGTGGCCGTCAACCGGCAGGGTGTCCGCGTCGGCAAGGGCGGCGGTTACGCCGATCTGGAGTACGGCCTGGCCGCCGCGGCCGGGGTGGTGCATCCAGACACTCCGGTCATCAGCACGGTACACGCCATGCAGGTGCTGGACGAAGACCTGCCCTACACTCAGCACGACGTCCCGCTGGCGGTGGTTATCACGCCGGATGCGATCATCCGTTGCAACGCTGGCGGCGCTGCCCTCCCCAGACCCACCGGCATCTACTGGGACGACCTGGACGAGCGCAAAATTCGCTCCATCCCCCTGCTGGCCAGGTTGCGGGCCGAGATGGGCTAGAAGTCTGTCCTCACGCTTCCCCTACCCCGGCGGATACCTTTGCATAACCGTCGTTCCGGCACAGGCCGGAACCGATGAGCACACCGTGGCAAGTGTCGTCGTCCTCAAGCGGGGAATGCCGCGTCGCCTCGCTCTTCCCAATGACAGGCTACGCAAAGGCCTGCCGAGGGGGAAGGGGATTGAATGGATCACAGCAGGACCGCTGCGCTTCGGCTGATCAGCAGGATGCCAACCACCAGCAGGGTTACACCCATTGTCAGGATGAGCAGGTTCAGGTTGACCTTGCCGGTCAGGTTGGCCCCCAGGTAACTACCCACTATTGCCGGGGCTCCCATCATCACCAGCAGGCCCAGTCTACCTGACCGTAAATGACGTGGCCGACCCAGCCAGCGGCCCCCATCACGAAGCCGATGAACAGATTTGTTCCGGCAGCGATGCGAGGATCCACGCGCAGGATTCTCACCAGGGCCGGCAACCGAATGCTGCCCAGGATCAGGCCGACCGCTCCGCCCAGCATTCCTACGGCGAAGCCAATTACGCCCTCCGATGCCACGCGTTTGGGGGTGAAAAGGCCCGGTGAACCTTCCAGACCGTCGCCGAACAGGGCGCCGTCGGTACGGCCGGCCCGCATCCGGTTGCGGGCGATAATCAGGAACTCGACGCCTTGCCAGAATACCAGCGCGCCGGCCAGGGCGATCAGCAGGTCTTCAGGCGTGCGGTTGCTGAGCAAGCCCCCGATGAACGCTCCGATAAAAGCCGGCACCCCCATGGTGAGGACGATGCGCAGGTTCACTCGACCAGCCCGCAGGTGTCGAATGGTGCCCGCCAGCGACGCCAGGCTGCTGACCAGTATGTTGGTACCGCCAGCAACGGGGGCGGGCATCCCCAGCAGGAGCATGGCGGGCAGCCGCATCGTGCCCAGCGCCAGACCCACGAATCCGCCCAGTATCCCCACCAGGAAGGAGACCACCGTCAGCAGCACGGCGTGCCAAAGGAGTAAGTCGGAGGGCAGGCCCAGGTCGGAGAGGGTCACGGGTTGTCTGCCCTCACCCCCAGATCAGGTCTGGGGCAGGCTCGAACCCTCTCCCAATAGAAGAGGGAACTGGAGCATGGCGGCCGTCGAAACTGCCGTGGCAAACGCCAAACTTCCTCGGGGAGATTCGCGGCATGGAGATTCGCGGCACCGAGAGTGCTCCGCCGGTGTCGCCGACGAGAAAGCCCCTCTCCCGTCGGGAGAGGGGTTGGGGTGAGGGGAGCAACCTCAACAACAGGCAATCTACCAACACCCGGGCCTGCTCAAATCAACGGGTAGTGGGTGAAACGAGGGATTACGGCTGGCCGACGGCTTCGGCGACACCTACTTCGGCCATTAGGTCAGAGATTTGGCGCCAGGTTTCATCCTCGATGAAGATGCCATCCTTGCGGCGTTGTTGTTCCGTGCGATACTCAATCTCCCCGGGGTAGAAAACTTCGCTGAATCCGGTAGCCGGTGGTGAGGTTTTTACGAACTCGGCAAACTCGGTCATTTCCTGCTTGAAATCTTCCAGCGGGCGGAACTTGCTTACGTCGAACACGGCCAGAAAACAGCCGTCGTTGTGGCGGGCCTGCGGGTCGATACCGAAACCCAGGCCGGTGAGCAAGCCGGAGAACATCTCTACCATGAATGACAATCCGAACCCTTTGTGCCCCTGGTCAGCGCCCACGGGCAGGATGGCCCCGCCGGCGGCGTAGTCATTGGGGTCGGTAGTTGGCTCGCCGTCCTTATCGACAATCCAGCCGAGCGGCACCGCTTCGCCACGGTTGCGCGCCAGGGAGATTTTGCCAGCCGCAACCGCCGACGTCGCCATGTCGAGCAGCACCTGGCCGGGCAGGTTGCTGGGCACGCCGATGCAGATGGGGTTGGTGCCCAGGCGTCGGGCACGCCCGCCGAAGGGAGCCACGGCCTTGGGCCCAGCTCCAGAGTCGGCGGTCAGCAAAGCGATCAGGCCTTCCTGGGCGCACATGGTCGGATAGTCGCCCAACCGCCCGATGTGGCTCTGATGGCGGATGGTGAAGGCGGCTACACCGTTCTCTTTGGCCTTGGCGATTGCCATGCGGGTGGCCTTCTCAGTTACCACGAAACCGAAGCCCCAGTTGCCATCTACCACGGCGGTGGTGGGAGTTTCGCTGAGCACGTCGAAGGCCGCGCCCGGCACGATGTGGCCGCGGTCAATGCGCTCACAGTACTCAGGGATGTGGATGACGCCGTGGGAATCATGGCCCGTCAGGTTAGCCTTAACCTGATGGGTCGCCACGATCTCCGCCTCATCGGCGGGGGTGCCTTTAGCCCGGTAGATGTGGGCCGCGACTTTGTGCAGGTACTCGGGTTGAAAAACAGGCATGGGAATAACCTCCGTAGCGCGGGGGAAGGCTGTACTTTGGGAATGGCACCGATTGTAGCAGGAAAATAAGGCAGGATGCCGGGACTCGCCCTCACTCCCAGGGCCTTTCAATCGTTGCCTTCCGTCATCCCGGCCTCGAGCTGGTGTCCAGTCCGAAAGCTACCAGCGGTTTCCCGGTAGTTCGGGTAGTTCTGAGACCTGGCCAGCGCTTCGTCGACGGGGGCGCTGACAAACGAAAAACCCTGGCCTCAACCCCACCGTGTCACCTCCAACCGAAGGTGGTTTGCCGGCTGGTTGGCTTGCTATTACACTGCTGACAACGTCATTGTCATCAGCGAGATTGTCATTAGCGAGATGGAGGGAATGTTATGAAGGCTGTTTATATCAACGCCACCGGCGGGACTGATGTGTTTACTTATGGAGATCGCCCCGACCCTGAGATCGGACCGGGCGAGGTATTGCTG